TTTGGAACGCTCTGCTTTTCATCGTAAATAAGCAGGATTGTGATTAACCTACGCCTTTATAGTACTCCTGGCGTTACTAGTATTTTTTTTATTGCCCTTGTAGGCAGACAAGCATACGGCCCGCCTGATGGTGAGTGGTTACCGTCGCCCATGGACTTCAGCAATGCCAGGGGCAGAGCCAAGCCGCTGCCTACCGCTTAATACTCTCCACAAGCCTCGTTTGAAGAAGGACATGTCATAGCACTCGGGAAACACCGTGGAGGGAAGCTCATTCCATAGCCGGATGGTACGTGGCAAAAATATCTCTGGAAACGCACTGTAGATGACCGCAGTGGCTCCAGGTAGTATGGATGAACTCTACTCCGGTGGCGGGCGGTGCGATGGTAAACGAGTATCTATGGCAACCAGTAAACGCTCAATTAAAATTTCAACTATTATGTTTTAAACTTAAAATTTTAAATTACATTGTCCTAGGCTACAATAAAACGTGCACTAAGTAATCGAATTTCATATAACAACAACAACAAAAAAATATGCCAGCAATCCAATTCCGCGAGCTCGAGCGAAATAAGACATTTATATTACGGAACACAAGAACGCGCATTTATGTAGGGAATCGGATTAATCCAGAGTAGTCGAACTGTGTATCCCGTAACTCGACTACGTATCTCGTATCTCGAAGGTTTTCTCGCTTGTAATCTCTGCTGCCTTGTTAGCCGGATCTCGGTAACTGCGTAGTGTTAATTGAGTAAAGACCGGTGTATCTCGTATTTAATGTCACCATTTCGAGACTCGAGCGCGTTTCGCTGAATTCAATTAGTGAGTTGATTCAGACGGTAACGTGTGAATGTAATGCAAATTCACAGCATTTGATTTGTCTAATATAATATTATAAATATTATTATTGCAACGATTCTATGAGATTATTTTAAAGAAACTTTAGCATATATTATCTTAATCACGATATTAACCATTGTTGAATTTCGACTAATAAACATAACTAAACCTACTAAACATGACTACACTGCTGGTAGGACCTCTTGTGAGTCCGCGCGGGTACCACTACCCTGCCTATTTCTGCCGTGAAGCAGTAATGCGTTTTGGTTTGAAGGGTAGGGCAGCTGTTGTAACTATACTTGAGACCTTAGAACTTATATCTCAAGGTGGGTGGCGCATTTACGTTGTAGATGTCTATGGGCTCCAGTAACCACTTAACACCAGGCGGGCCGTGAGCTCGTCCACCCACATAAGCAATAAAAAAAAAACTTGAATCAGACTATTAAAAAACAATCTTATTTTTCAAAATAATTCTGAAGCCTAACATGTTTATAAAAATACTTATCTATAAATGAGTTCATATATGGAATAAATCTATTTTCAAAAATCAAAATTTTACATCTAATAATATGTTAAGCCCTTAATAAAGCCATTCGTTATACCAGAGCATATAAATCTAAAGGATAATCAATATTCATTGCGTCTGCGGCGTTGCACCGCATCGATATCATACCGCCGAAACCACTGATTTATGTTCCGTTCTCGAATTGTATTCAAAATCACACAGTTGAATGCGATTTTTTTTTAAATAAAAACACGCTGTATAGTCGATGTTTGCTTTTCATGAAACTGTCTTGTAAAAGCAATATCTTTATAATTAAAAGATATATTCACAACTAGCTGACCTGGCAGACTTCGTAGTGCCTCAATCGATAAATAAAAGACCTAATTTTTTTTATAAAATAAACTTGAAACAAACAAAAGGAATCCGACGGACGGGGGACACATCAAAGGAAAAACAAAGTTGTTATTTTTATTTAATTTCGAGCATTTTCATATTTATCTACCTTTTAAACCTTCTCTGGACTTCCACAAATAATTTAAGACCAAAATTAGCCAAATCGGTCCAGCTGCTCTCGAGTTTTAGCGAGACTAACGAACAGCAATTCATTTTTATATATATAGATTTAATCTCGATTGTTTGATTTTTTTATTTCATTATTTGAATGCTTCACAGGTTTCGTGGTCACGGAAAACTAAAGTGCTATTTTAATCGGAAGGAATTAATGACAAAAAACACGAGGCTAAACCTTAAAATAATTTTCATAATGTTAACGACTCGCGAAAACTGCCGAAACGTTTTTGTTACACAAAATATCTATATATTAATACGTGAAGCAAAAACTTTGTATCCCTTTTTACGAAAATTGCGCGGACGGAGGAGTATGAAATTTTCCACACTTATAGAGAATATAGAGAAGAAGTGCACAATGCTAATGTTTTTTTAAAATAATGCATAAAAGATACATTAAATCAATAAAGAAAACATTACACACACCACATACCATGTATTTGACGCACACACGCATGCATACTATTTATTGTCAAACTTTTGTTCTTGACGTCTGTGGTCAAATTGAGAATAGATTAAATATTGTTTGTCTTTATTAATATTTTTTTATAGTGTAGCCTTGGCGAAATTTGTGATTATAGTATGTGTACAAACTTAAAATTCCAATTAATTATAGTCGAATTTCAACTACTGTGGGACCTGTAGTTAAAGGAAACTTGTACATTGTATACAGGGTGCTCAGAAATCGCCATCGAAACAGAATCCGCAGTAAACTAATATCCTAATATTAGTGACTTTCCAATATAACATATTTATGGCTTGTTGTTTTACTAGTTCCAATTTTGCTAGCCCGCAATTTAAGGTTAATGGTAGACGCGACCCGTGTTTCCTTGGGACCGTAGACTCAACGCGTCTGTTGATTCTTGATAACATTACATTGCGAAGACGTCTTGGCCTAAAAGATAAGACGCCTTGTGTAGCAAGCGATGTAACTGTGCCGGTATTCAAATCTCGCAAATAGACACCAATTTTACTAATAAAATACATACTTAATACATTTTTTTTTTCGGCTTTTCGCGATTCATAAATTTTATAACGGTTTAATGTGACGTTTTTTGGCTGTCTTTATATTATTTTCGACGTTGCAAGTTCAGTTTTCTTGGTCACAAATGACGAAAGCGATATTCAGCGAAAGTTATATAATGAAAATTAAAAATCATGGGTTAAAACTGTTAAAGTAATTTTAATTATAATTAACACGTGCCCACGAATCAATTTCACGATGAGGGAACCACACCGTATAAGAAAAATCAAATATGCAAATTTTTAATTATGGTAGAGAGTATAGATAGCCCGTGTGCATATTTCACGTCATTCTAACTACTTTTGATGCGTATCGGTCATTCGTTCCGATTAGACGGGCGGACCAGCCATTACACAAAACACTTCTGGTTTCGACCTTATATCTTACGGTGTATGGCGGCATTCGCGTTGTGATATCTAGGAACTCCGATAACTTTACACTAATTGGAAGGTGTTTTAGATAATTTACAAATTCGTGCAACAAAGATGTATCTTAAAAAAGATTTTTAAAAGCAGCGCGGGTAGACTTCCCACGAGGTGGACCTATGAACTACAAAAGGTACCAGGAAACCCTTGGAGGAGGCCTATCTCTAGCAGTAGACGTCTGTGGGTTGATGATGACGATGATGATAAAAGATAACTTTTCAAGTATGTTTTTAATTATATCGTATTTTGTATTTAGTGACCATTAGCTCTACCATATACTGCAACGTTTTAATACACTCAGTTATATTTAATTTTCGGAACCTAAATTTCAGGTTATCCAAAGTGCATTCACATTAACAACAAGTATCGCTAAAATATTTTTTTTTATCGTCGTATTAATAACTACAGCGAGTCATTAGTAGTCTTGTGGATGTTCCCATAAAGATAACATGGGACATCGTCCGTTCTGTAACATTACATCTGCAATGGCCGCCGAACTTAACGAGCCATATTATGTTTATGACATTTGCTTGAGAATACTAATGTATAATAATATAGTTTGACAATTATTAAAAAATATTGTGTGGTCTACAACTGTTTTGCTTTGTTCAAACTTTCGCGATCGGCTAATTCTAAATAAATAAATTTCTAGTACATAAATCAATGAATTAATCTATTGTTTAAGTACTTTTATTTGGCGGGTTCTTACGAAGTTTTTTTGGGACTCTGGTTTTTTTTCTAAAACTCACACGTGGTCTTCTGTCTCCAAGCTAGGGGAACCACAGATTGACACACATATAAGTCTAGATATATTCCGATTTGAAAAGCTATTCCAGACCAACTTAGACTACGGAATAGACCCATTTACATATATTTATAACAATTATATGAGGGTATGGCGTATTATGAGTCCACACGAAGAGGTACCTCCCTACCTCAATAGTAGTATCCTCAAAGTGTAGTCGAATAAGAATTATTAATCGAATTTCACCTAATGTTTCAAAGTTAAGCATAAAGTTAGACATATACATTGTATGTACATTGTAATTTCTATACCAATTAACATAAGATGGATGCTCTTCTGCCCATATCTCGCAATAATGTTAAACTAATTGTTAGACTTTATTAAATATTTTAAAATAATAACCATTTCCCAAAAATAGTAAATTGATAACAATATTAATTTAACTAACATCACTATTTTCTTTTTGTGTAGGTGATTAATATCTAAATATGTACGTATGTATTTATTTCTTTGGTCTCATATTACAAAGAATCCTATTTGATTATTTGATTTATTTCTCACTTATTATAGGGTTTTGTTATAGGTGTCCCGTTTGACTATACCATTGAATAATACATTTTAAATCATCAACTGCTATTACCGATCAACCAAACGAACCCTTTACGAATTAACATTTTCATTAACCGCGGCTCATCCACAATCATCATTAGGACCGGTATTGTTAATGTTACTGGCGATTAATATCTCATTTACTGAATTCCGTGTACTCGAAAACAATTCCTTTTTTGCGCCGTCTGCATTTTCGATATGATCAAATACTTTATTAATTGTTCGCGAATTTATTGAGTTTCAGTTATGAATGTTCGTCATTTTATTATTAATATATTTTTGTTGCAGTTGTCTAAGCCCGCGTTCGGCCTACTTCTACGAGTTTCCGCCAAGCGGTGAGTTTCACAGTAGGTATATTTGTGATATTTAACATCAATATAACATTAGTTAATACGCTCACGCTAAATAGTCACCAATCTTAAACACATCTTTAAAAAAAAGTGCTTTCAACCTTATCAGAACTTTCCAGAAAGACATCTTATATCTCTGTTATTCTACAAAAGATACCAAATGGACATTTGTTAATATGACATAATTGCTGTATTAAAATTATAAAGTACCTGTAGAATAAACGAACGTAGGTATAATATGTACCGATATTGTTAGGCTCGATATTTTCATTTCATTGAGGCACTTATAGTAGGCTATTAAGGGACCCATTAGAAACATTTTGCGGCACGCAATTTTTACCTACGGAAAATAACATAAACGGAGAGAACGTTTAGTTATAATTTATTACTTTCCTTCACACTTTTAAGATTTTATAATGTTTTAACTTTCCGAGAGGTACTTACTCTATTACGTTTTAGAATATTAAACATTCTCGGTTCCGTACATATTGTAATATCTTGAAAATTTTAATAAGATGAAAGTATCGTTGAGATATTTGAGATATTCCAACATTTTCCTACTAGATAATTGTCTGGGGACAGCTAAGAAGAAGGTGACGACGTTCTCGAGACTGCTTCGTGGACTTAAATCGCACAGGAAAGAAAAACACGGATCCTGTTCGCCGAAGCATACGCATAGCCCGCGGCAGATTTTGCCTCCTCAGAGGGTAAGTAAGAAATCGCTTGAGCACTACGAATATTGGCTAAATTTATTTTCTGACGTGAAAATATCGATTGAAGTAGATGTATCGGCATGTCTAATTTAAAATATACGTACTAAAAATATTTAGTATATTAGTTTATTTAATAAGTCACAATAGAACCAATGATTTGTGCGATCTAACATTATCTTGCAACAAATTATCCAAAATGTAGGGGAAAAAATAAACATACTCTTAAGAAAATAGTAACTTTACTTATAATTAAAAATTAAATCTTAATTTACGATCGAATTAATGGTGTACGTCGTAAAATAACGTTTTTTCATCTAGCGGATATCGTGGTTAAAGTTATTAACCAATACATGTTTTAGTAAGACGCTAATGAAACTTTCAAACAACAACGCAATTTGAATACCAACGCCGCGGTTGCATCATTTGAATTAAAAATTAAAAACTCGGAATTTCTTAACCGTACAAGATAATACAGCGATGTTGTGGAGGAGGCACATTTTTTATTAGTTAATGGAGCTAATAGGAAATATAATTACGGAATCTTTAAAAATTTCGTTTCCCGTTTCGTTGAACAGAATTAGATTCGATCGAACTGATTTGTTGACCATTTATGTTTAGTACTGCTATAAGTCCTCTATAGAAGAGGACCGCTATAGAACCTCTGGGTCTGCGGAGGGACTTCAGTTCCCTCTGTATTTTGTACCGTATGTTCCATGGGGAGCGCTCTGAGGAATTGTTCGAGATGATACCGGCATCTCGTTTTTACCATCGCACCGCCCGCCACCGAAGTAGGTTTCATTCATACTACCTAGAGCCACTGCGATCCTCCATAGTGCGTTTCCAGAGATCTTTTTTGCCATGTACCACCATCCGACTATGGAATGGGCTCCCATCCACGGTGCTTCCCGAGCCCTACGACATATCCTTCTTCAAACGAGACTTGTGGAGAGTATTAAGCGGTAGGCAGCGACCTGGCTCTGCCCTTGGCATTATTGAAGTCCATGGTAAGGTAGGCCGCATGCACGTCTGCCTACAAGGGCAATCAAAATAAAATAAAAAACCTTGGATACTCAAACGCAATTTAGGATAATGCAATTCTTTCAGAAGTTAAAAAGGGATAATTATTTTATTTTAACGCAGAATACAATACTCATTTGTTAGCTTATCTCATTGGAAATTAGTCAACCTTGATAAGTTGTTTGTGGTAAGGGAAGTCGTAGAGAAAAGGCCTTACGGCTGATCTCTAATCGAGGGTCGGCTCAAGTAACTTCCTTAGCAGGACTCTCTGTAACAACTGTTCTTAGAGAAACCGAAAATATCTCAGATGAAGCTATGAAGGCCTTTGAGGAACACAATCTTTAGTAATAAAAAATAACTATAGTCATTTTTATCTCGTTTCAAAAGTTGCTTAACTCTTGAAAAATTAAGATCGTATATTGCACACGATAGCTGGTTCTTAATGTATAGCATATATTGCAGTGGAAAAATAACAAAAATCTGAAATTAAGAATTCGAATATTATGTTCTCGTCTTCAAAAATGGTACTCTTCTATCCTGCAAAACTATGTAGTCTATGTATGTAACTATGTAGTCTGAAATTCGATTAAATTAACGTAGGTATAAATATGAGATATTCCAAGATAAAGAATTGTCCAATTAATAATTATCTACTATTTCCAAAGGGTAACAAGTCGATAAATTGGTCCAGCTTAATATTATAATCCTTCCTTGTTCATGAGTACGAAATATATATGTTATTTTTCTTTTTATTCTATAAAATTCCATAACAACTTAATATAGCTATTACGTAGCCATAAAATAAATATCGACGCTTGAAAGGCAAACATGACTAAGTGACAATAACTGCTTTGTACATAAATGATAGGCAATAACCATATTCGATGCGCAAAAAAAAATATATTTCTAGGTCTATTAAAATCATTTCAATCCTACAGCTACTAGCTAGATTCTACTACAGCTAGATTCGTTAAAATAAATTTTGTTTTCAGGTATTTTAACTTTAAATTAGTCTACTGTAAAGTTCACGCATTGTCGCTTAGTCATGTTTGCCTTTCAAGCGTCGATATACATTTAGTGTGATCCTAAAACCCTTCTTCGTAAAGCAAAACTACTACAAGTATTTTGAATTTTATCTCTTAAGAAAATATTTTTGAATCGTTTGCTTACCCCAACGGAACAAAGGTACCTATGTCAGTAATTTAAAAAAAAAGTGTTGCCTAAATTTTCGATGTAAGAAATGGTTTTTCGTTAGCAACCACGACGGTTTGTAAACGAATCTTAGTTCGGCTCAATGCACTCGCCTCCGGCGGCGTCGGTCTCACGTTTTTTTTTTCATATATTCCCTTTTGCTGTCCCCCATCCGCCATTATGTTGAACGGGCGCGACGCCGGTAAGCCTTTGACATGCACTCCAAGCAATTAGTACGACGCGTCTGGTAGTACGGAGGCCGGGGCAAATGTGAACACAATGCGTATTCTCATACAGGCTCGACTCATTTTTCATATTGTCTTAATGACTAAATATTAAAATCGCTGATGATAATCCTGTTTAGAACATTACGTATAAGAACTAAAATAAGCATTTACTGATTTCTTATTATTGGCTAATTGGTTAACGATTGTTATGAAAATCAAGAATTATGTTTAAATTCTTATTATTTTATCCAATTGGTTAACAATGATTACGAAATTCTAGAATTTTCTTTAAGGGTATAAAAAGTTAAAGTTGCTTTTTTTAGTTGTTGCTTTGAAAAGTTAATAATGTATATGTACGTAAAATACATTTGTAATGTTCCAATAAGTCTAAAATACTGAAGCCTTTTTAAAGTTTCAAACAACAAAAGCATTTAACTTAATATAAATAGCTTCTGTCGTTCTATTAAGAACCCGCCTTATCAAGAAGAGCTATGTTAACTCGCCTCGTGATCGCATTAGATACGCAACTCATTTCTACTAAATTAAGTGCAACATTTTTCCACGTCCACCTATAATTATTAATCTTCTGGGGGGAAGGTGGGGTACGTCACCGCATGCCTTTTGAGAAATGACGCCTGCCAAAGTTAAGTCGGTTGAGCCAAGGCGACGGGTCTGAGTTATGAGCCAACGGATAAAGGCCATTAGGGCGCCGAGCATAATCCTTATCGGGCAACTTGCACTTAGGATTAGTCCTGTCAAAAGTTGCTTTTTTCCGGTTATTGACCAGCCACGCCCGGCCGTGATTAGAGGATCAGTTCTTGGACACGCTGATCCTCTTAAACGGTAAACGCGGGTTGCGTTTTACAAGTTCCCTTTTATTTCACTGAACACATTGTTTGTGGGTTTATCAATGCCCGTTTGTTACGAGAAACCGTAATGTTTTTTTTACAAATCATTCCAAAGTCCGATTTTAAGTTTACATGTTGCGTTTGAGTAATTCGGAGTTGCCTTCGAAACGGCTTCTTGCGGGCCGTATTATTGGGCTACTACTATTCGTGCATTATAGCCTCGCAGACTCGCGATACTGCGCAATAAAACGTTATAGTCTTGCCTCTGTGGTTGGTGTAGTATTTTGTAGATCGTAAACAAGGAACATCGTGTATCGATAAATATGTTTATGCTTGTTGCATTGTTATTCAACTACATTAGAATAGTTTTCTTCGTCACTAGCTTTGAATTCGCATTTAGTCATTCTGGTTAGATAATTGGATTTATTTGCGCATATTTTTAATAGAGAACTAGCATAAATGATTCTACAGGATAAATTGTCTGGCTCTATAAGCTTTGAAGGGGTATGCAAAGATAACCGATAAGCTTAAGACTGCTTCCAATCATCATTCAGTAGCAATAGCAATATCCGTGCTTAATTTTCTTATCTGTTACTCTAATTCTTACCTTAAGTACTGGTGATAGGCTTGGTGTATTATTTTTCGATTCTTCGGATTCCCGGTTGGGGTTAGTTTGTGTGAGATATTTGTACTCGAGGTTTGGTTATACTTGTTTAATGTGTATTAGCATCCACATCACTGGGGAAAATCTTAGATTGGAGACGCTGTATATGAAACTTTTTATATTTTGTTTTAAGCTATTGCATAGATTTTATCGCGAGTCTTGAGTGCGGCTTGAGAGCGGAATCATGAAATTCCGTAACGAAAAAACCTTACACCCCTCACTCCGCCTACTATGTAGCTCGCGTTCAACACATTCACACGTTGCGCTTGTGTAGTGTTTGTGAATAAGCGCGTGGCGTGACGTCACACTGCATGCGCATCATGAAAAGTCTGCCCATCTCTCTCTCGCGCGGTCTAGCTTATGAGTGTGAAGGGGACAGTTAAGGTTTTACTTTTATTAATGTTTAATATAGCGTGGTCTTGTTTTATTATTGTTTTAATATTAAATTATCATTGTCTAATTGTAATTGCATAAGTTGATAAAAAATGCTATGCAATAGATTTACCGCGGCAGTTCCCGAGTGCCACAAGTTTTTATTATTATTTCTAAAGCGAAATAATCACGCATTCCAGTTCAAATCGTTATTTTTATATAAATTTAAGTGTGATTTCATCTCTCAAGTTACGGAATCCCTATTGCGGTATCTCTAAGTTCTAGTAATAACTCAATATCAGGTGTGCAACTAAGCACACCAACTCACGAGCACCTTTTTATTTAGATAACAGACGATTTATTACTTCATTAAAAATCTTGATTTTTGGTTAAATTACTTGGGCATAAAGAGAGAATATTTAAACAAAGAGAAAATATTTAAGTTTTACGATATCAGGTATTACTATTACATTTTTTTTTTTTTATTGGAGCATCATGTATTATTAGTGTAGAAGATTGTCCAAAACTCAGTTGACGTTTGTATACTGAAAATTATTAATAAGCGTCAGCTTTGTGTTGTTTCATGATATTTCTTTTGCATTAACTAACTGCCCTTAATTTCATCCTACTTCTATGTATCATACATGTATTTTCGTTACAATTTACAGTTTAATAGATAAAAATTGCCCAGAACTATAGCTATAGCTGGAAAGCTTTTAAAAAAATATCTGTGCTCCAAAAAAAAAACATAATGAATACTTACAACAGAAAAAGGCATTAAAACTTGAAATTATTTAAAGCAAATAATGCAGCACAATTAATTATATAATTAAGATGATACAATAGCAATGTCCCTATAAAACAAAATAAATAAAATTATTTGAACAACGTTCATTAAATTAAAAACCACAAATGAACGTAGCAAATAAATGCGAACCGGTGCTTCATCAGATGAGCATACGCGTGTCAACTAATTGTTTTCCTGTCAATTAAACCACCGCGTAATTTGTTCATTTCTATGACAGATTTTGTTGTTGATTGTGAATTTCTCAGACTGTATTTCCTTTGTGATTTCTCTTATGTGGGTTTTGAAGTATGCCGTTAAATTACAAATACTATTAAATTCTTTTGGTTTAATTTGAAAGTAATATTGTGAAAGTATATTGCGCGTCTTGTATCTGTTGAGTCCCGTTCAGAAGTGAAGGTGGTTGTGTATTTTCTACGCGTTGCGGAGCTCGCCGGTCCGCCGGTTTGCCGTCCCCTCCTGCGCCGCGCTACCTCCGTCTTTCCCGATTTTGCGAAGGAGGAGTTGATGCGTAAACAGATTTATTAAAATAGTTTTGTGCGTTTCAAATTTAAAAATATCCGGCGTATCTGCATTTCTTTACTGGTGGTAGGACCTCTTGTGAGTCCGCACGGGTAGGTACCACCACCCTGCCTATATCTGCCGTGAAGCAGTAATGCTTTTCGGTTTGAAGGGCGGGGTAGCCGTTGTAACCATACTGAGACCTTAGAACTTATATCATAACGAGGTGGGTGGCGCATTTACGTTGTAGATTTCTATGGGCTCCAGTAACCACTTAACACCAGGTGGGCTGTGAGCTCGTCCACCCATCTAAGCAATAAATAAAAAACTGCTACGAATATTTTTTCTTTGTCGCTATTCTTTTGAAAGAGTGGTCGTGACCGTTGTGTGTTTAGTGGCGAGTTTTACAACCCGGCGCCACTTTTCTCTTCTGTCTGCGCGTCTGATGCTTACGTGCAGGGGGCAATTCGTTGCAGTCTTTATTTAGTCTATCTACTTTACGGGATATCAGAACATCAGTCATTAGCAAAAGAATAAAATTCAGCAGTCATTACCGAAAACAAAGTCACCTTGTCTTAGAATGCTTTATGAAAGCAGATGATTAGTGAATCAAGTTACAGTACCGTGCTGCTAGTTGTCGAGATGGAAATGTTTAACGACGTCCCAATTGCTTATTATATTGCCTGGAATAAAACATTTAAATTCCATGAATTGATTATATTAATATGAATGTTTTTCTTTCTTAATTATTTATACTTCAGCTTATTCGAATGTTTTAGGAAATATCATTTCAAAGAATACTTGTAAATATATATTAAGTTTCTATGCCAATATGGTATTTGGATTTGAAAATTTAACGCGTTCTTCTACGCGTCATTCAAGTTCTTTTACTATAAAGACTTCATTATAGATTGAAAGAAAATGTGTGTGAATTTGATAAGGGACCAATAAATAGCTTAAGCGCGGGACAGCGCTTTCGAGTCTAAAACGTCCAATGTAGAGCCATTCGCATTATTCTCTTATCAACCACCAAGTTAATGGGCAACCTTTGTGTGTGCTATGATTAATTGATTTTAACTTGCATGCCTTTGTTGTGTTGCAGAATACATCAGCTTTTAACAGAGTCAATCTATATATTTAGCAAAATGCACTTTTAAAGTTTTAATGCGATCAATTAACAAGTGTAGTTTGATCTTATTTACTTTTGCCTTGAAATGTTTTGTATTCGCTTATCAATATGTAGAATTAAGTTATAGTTAATTCGCAAAAATTAACGAAAATCGTTTGATTCTTTGGTTTAGAAACACGCAATGCTGAAAAATTCGCTAAGTATGCACAGATTGTTAGAATAAAATAAAGTTGCGTATCCACAATATTTGCATTCCCAACTGACATTTTTACGGAGGAAACTAAATATAACAAAGTTCAAAAAGTCCCGCATCATCTTGGGTTCATGATAATTTATCATACGGCCGTTATATTCGAATACAGTGATTCGCGAAAAACTTGGAGTTTTCAAGAAAGCAGCTATTTTAGTTGGTGTATTTGCGAGTAATCTTCAAGAGAAAAATGACTTGTCGATTAAGTGATAAATGATGAAAATTTCGTTTGACTTTAACAAAAATTTTCAAAACTTTTTGTGTAATTATTCTCATTAAAGATTAGTTAGATGTTCTGACAGATTTAAATTAATATACTGAATTTAATCTTTTGCCAATATGATATTAGCACTATTTGGAATGATATACATTAAATAATATAATGCACGTTGTATATAATATTATCATTACTGGTGGTAGGACCTCTTGTGAGTCCGCGCGGGTAGGTACCACCACCCTGCCTATTTCTGCCGTGAAGCAGTAATGCGTTTCGGTTTGAAGGGCGGGGCAGCCGTTGTGATTATACTGAGACCTTAGAACTTATATCTTAAGGTGGGTGGCGCATTTAAGTTGTAGATGTCTATGGGATCCTGTAACACCAGGTGGGCTATGAGCTCGTCCACCCATCTAAACAATAAAAAAATTAAAATAAACTTGGTCTAAGAACTACGTGATAAATAAAAATCATTTAATAATAGCCTTCTCAAAGTCTATAAATCCCGCAAATTTCTCCAGGTCGACACCCCGGACAGCGTGCTACAAAGTGGGTTAGGCCTGGGGCCAGGGCCGGACACAGCCCTGAGGTCCATGGTTGACCCGAGAGATTATGATCGCCTCCGCTTCTTACAAATGACTTCCACCCAACCAAACACGTTTGAGGAAACTATACATAGGGTGAGGCGTTTACTCCCCGCAACAATGGACGACGTAAACTTTTAACAACTAACAGACTTCGGTTCGAATCATCGTTAACCGGCTCGGTTAAAAGTGTAGTTAAATACGGTTATAGTCAAAGTTGTTGTGGGTGAGATCTAATCTGTTATACTTTGACTGGCAAACTGATAGTCTTATCTTATTTATGTGTTTACCGGTACTGTCATATCCCTACTAGAGTGTTTACAATAGTTTTTGGAACGAAGTTCTTTATGGGACGATGCAAAGTGGTGCCCTAGCCGGGAAAACACGTCCGTAACGTAAGATTTTTATTGTAATGCAAAAAGTGTACGACTTAAGTTTGTAATAACGTACAAGAAATAAAAAAAAAATTACAATAAAAAATCTTAATAAAAAATGTATACCCGAATAATTTTTAATTATTTTCTTTATACCTCGAATAGAACTTAAATATAATATTTTATAATAAGGAACTTCGTTCCTATCCGGTGTCCCACGACACCATTTTTTTTTTACGTTCTTTTATCACAGCCTTGATTTGGTAAATATTTATATTTTATATCAATATACTATTAGCATATTTATTATTAGTTAGTCAAATCTCTTTGCTATTTATTCAATTTATTATTTATAGTTATTTTTTGCCAGCAAAAGTGTAACAGATTATTACAAAATTCAAAATTTCATGCTAAATTTTTGGCTTAAATTTTCATCGGCATGTTCAAAGAATTGGAGGTGGATCATTGATTTTTTCCTTTTATTTCAAAATAGATAATAAGTTTAGAATGGCACGTAATCACTTCCTATAGAACGCACCGTTTGCACGATCTACTATTTTGAAAATGCATGAAGCATGGAATAAGTAAAATGTATTCTTTCAGTTTACGTAAAAATTTTGAAGAAAAAAAAATTAACTGACATATTAATAAAGTTCATAATTTGTTACAGTTGAAAGTACAAGAAGCAATGAAAAAGAAAGATAAAATTGCAAGGGAACAAGAAGAGGTAAGTCTAAATTTGAATCTTAGTCTAAAAGTATTCTTTGCGATACAAATATCGACAACTCAAAAAAAAAAATACAATATATACAATTCACTTACTGATGTTTCCGCGCATCCATACATAAAATCTCCTTCAACGGGCTTTATTACACGAAAAGGCCCTAACGATGTAACTCACACATACGCGGATAATCTGATGTGAGAGTCGCAGCAACTTGTAATCTTACGACTGCCGCGCATTCGACGCATCGAGGCGCAGGCTAATCGCGCCCTAATCTCGAGCTAAGCCTATTATAGGCAGTTGTATTGCTTCCCTACGAAACTTCGGAAGCCCCTTGGCCAGCACATTTAGCTCGTAAAACTATGGGACGTTGATACTTTCGAATATTGGACATTGAATTCTTTATTACTACTATAAACTGTTACCGCACGAATTGCGGTGACATGTCACCGTAATAAATGTGCCCTGTTGATTTAATAAAACTTTATATTATTCTGTTACAGTTTTATATTTGTACTGAATATTGTGTTTTTTTTTCAGAACAAATAATTCGACTTATCTTGATAACAATGAAATTAATCAATTTAACGCCTTTGATCGCCTGTTAGACCCAATATATTGATAGCATTGAAATCCCCCAGTTCAATGTATCTAATCACCCAATACAGTGGCTAGTAAATTTAAAGTGCTTCCTTTAATTTCTGAACGCCTTTCTTCGTACTAAGGCTCAAATCCCATTTAGTATAATAGAACGACACGTAAATCCCTTTCCCGTATTAAGTACACCGTTTGGGTAACAAAGTGTGCATAAATTAGCTTAACGTTCAATACTTTTCTACTTACACGTAAGTAGATTTTTTATGATGTTCCGTCATACCATACTAATATAATAATATGGTGTACTCTATAGTTTTTGTATCCGCAAAAAATACTGCTCAAAAGTACATTCGTTTTTTGACGTTTACCATTTACAGCTTCGATGGATGTATGCTGGTCTATCTTATGTAATATTTGTTCGCATGCGGCAAGATTATGGCGAATAAAACCTGGTTCTTATTTCCTTATAAAAACCATAAAGTTTTTATGCCTTACTTTTAAGACGTCAGTGTTTTCGGGAGCAACTTTTGTAGGTACACTCTCACACTAAAATTGGACTAAAAATATTTATGAAAAGTTATACGCACAATGAAGCAATTTCAACGGAATAGCTTATTATTTTTATGATTTAAATTCTCCTATCTTGTTTCTTCACTCCCTTGCAAACGGTTTTCTTGCAAAATTAAAATAATCTTTTGGGGTGCCAGCGGGTTTTCCTCGAATTTATCGTTTCGCCGTGTAGTAGTAGCTCGAATTTTCGTTTCATGTGTCCTTTGTTTCAGATTCTGAGAGACATACGACACGGTCTTATGAATATGGGAAGAGACGGCGTCCGGGGTCCTTTTGGAGGTATGTGTTTAGGAATCGTCCCGGCACACTTGTGTTTCTTGACACATTCGTATGTGACTTTTTGAACATTCTGCAGTACAACGCGCTTTCATTTGAGTAATGAGCTACCCGACATTAAAATTTTTTGTGAAAGGGTTAAGAAAGCAATCCTGGTTGAAAACGAAACTAGACACATTTGTTTTTTTGTAATGTAAATTAAAACGGATTTCAAACCGTATTTGCTTTCAAAGATATAAACAAATGATAATTTAAAAAATGTATCTTGTAATGTACTTGTAATATACTATTTTACCACAGCAAGAAACGTTAGAAGAAACGTTCTCAATGATATTGTTTGCTGTAAATTTTAATTTATATTACTCGAAACTAAAAATATTCATAATTAGCAGATTAAGTAATCAAATTTTGTCGCATGTGGCTTTGTACAGTTTTTGACGTATACCTAATTTTGATTCAACGCTTTTTGTCAAATGTTGAATAGCGTACGGTTTTGTTATCGTCTTTATATTGTGAGCTTTCGATGTGCATTTTACATTCATCGTCATTAAATTAAGAACTATATATGTGCATATGAAAAATCCAGTGATCAATTGAAAAATCATTACAATTCACGGCCATTCATCAACCCGTTATTTAGCGACGAAATGCTGAATGCATGTTTTAAAGAATATTTTTGCAAAAACGCACGGCTTCCGATATACGTACACAGCTTTATGCAGTGATTTGGATTCGCAATATTTCGAAGGCATTTTTTACGGTAAAATTTGTTCGCAATTTTGTTAGCACGAGCTTTTTTGGTTTGAATACTGGAAGCGAAATCCGCAGAGGATTAATTTGGACTCGTTTACAGACGACACGTACATGTACGACGATGAAGCTAGAGGTCTATCAGGCAGAGGACATTGGTATGACGAACCGCCCTACGAAAGCGACCCTGAAGATTTCCTAATGGGCGGAGGTGCTCCAGCAGCAACTTTTCAAAACGGACGAGTATGCTTCACTCTCAATCTTCGCAATGACGCAAGAGGTGAAGGCGTGATATCTCTGAGAAGTGCCGGAGATATAAGTTTAGCGAGAACCCCTCGGAGGGGATTAATAATTCCGCAAAGCGGCCCCTACCCCACAACCGTGATCCCCTTGCGAACAGCGAGAGATCGAGAAAGCGGGGATTACGCGGCGTCTGACATCCAATCTATAGGATCGAGACTATCTGGCATCTCGTTAGAATCAAACAGGTCCGAACGGGATTCCAGGCGGGGCTACCGCCAAATGTCTGGCTATCGGATAGGAACAGACCCATTATCCCCTGCTTCATCAGATTATGAAGACCAAGAAAGCGAAACGGACTCTCAACATATAGCTACCGTACATAAGGTAACTCATAACAAAGTGAACATGCTTCATTTAAATTTGTTAATTTATTTATGCAATAAAGTAGCTGATACAAATTGCATTCGATTTATTTAACCTTCATCCGGATATATTATATTATTATATTTACAGTCTGCTGAAGATTGCGAAGGAGTTTCTAACTTGGCGGGGAAAGTTAGGGGACTTAGACAAGATGTTCAGAGAAAAATCTCTCGGTTGCGTCAGGAAAGAGGTCCCGAAGGAAATGATAGGAGAACAAGTGCAGATCAAGCATTTCCTTGTTCTAATAGTTCTTTTGAAAGTCTTCCCAGCGGATCTGGCAGTAGTGAGTGGATTTATTGAGTTATCCGTTTGTGTTAATATATGCGTTTTTGTAAATAAGTTTGTCTTTCCTTTATTTAAACCATAACACCCCAACGTTGCTTAAACCCCTGTACTAAATGATAGCTGTAACAGAATTTTGGTCCAATTAATAACAGTATAACAAGTTAAAAATTAACAAACACAACGTACCCATCTGAGGGCAGACGAAAGATGCACAAACAGGTATTCCAACTTTAGATTTCATAAAAAACAAAATTGTATAAAAAAAAAATTGTTTAGCCCTTAAATATTTATGTACAGGCACACAGGCACTGGTTCGCGCCGGTAGTAATCATTCATCTCTCTCGGCAGAAGAAAACATAGAATTAAGTCCGGCCGGGCGGAGTTTACTAGTGCCGCAAATGCTGTGCCGTGCTCGAGCGCTCGTCGATTACCTACCCAATATTTATGAGAAAGATGCTCTCAGATACAAGGTAAGATGTTTTAATATTGGACGTTAAGGTCATGTTTAACTAGAACTAGCCGTACTCGTCCGCTTCGCTGGGCATTTAAAATTAACATTATTATTTATTGTCATTATTATTAGGGATTCCAACACTCATATAAATATTAGCCTATCCATTAAGTACATGTATTTTCTACATGGATACCAAGTTTCAAGTCACTCGGATGCATGTTACGGTAGTTATAACGGAACATCCGTAAAAACCACTGTAGATTTATATATTAGTATAGATTATTATAGATACCGTTGACGCTGTTACTACGAATAAACTCATATTTTGTTCTCAGAAAGGAGACATCATTGAAGTAATTAACATGAACGCATCGGGAATCTGGCGCGGTGTTTTAAACAACAAAGTTGGAAACTTTAAATTCGCAAACGTGGAGGTTTTATCTGAAAGAGATACCGTTCGCTCTAGATCGTCAAAATGGTGTAAAAGTCGCGAAAGACTCTGGGAGACGCGACCTCGGACTGTTGAAGAATTGTTACGAAGAATAGACCTACCGGAATATACACTGGCGTTTTCTCGTAACGGTTATGAAGACATTGAGCTGTTCAAAGAAATCGAACCGTCTGATCTAGATTACTTAGGTATAATGACACCAGAGCACCGAACACGTATTCTTGCTGCTGTCCAATTGTTGCATCAGCTCGAAAGTGAGTTGGTATTGTTTTATTTTTATTTTCATCATGAGCAACATCATATACCTAAAACATTATGATGTGTCTTTTCCCGTGCACAGGTGGAGAAGCTGACGGTGAAATTGACGGTGGCGGTTCCAGTTCCGAAGGAGGAGACTCGCCGTTTGGTCGACGACAGTTCCCTCGTGATTCCGGTTGCTACGAAGGAGGAGTAGGCGTAGGCGGCGTCCGCGTCCGAACATCACCGCTAGTACACCGCACAGACGAACCCAATCAACGGCCCCCCGAGCCCGCACCGCAAGCCAAACGCTCAATCAGACGGCGACAGCCAGATGACGCCGAATGCGACAGAATAGAACGTTATCCCGGTACAGGAGCTGAGCGAACGGCGGTACGCACGGGTGGGTTGCCTGGCGGGGCTAGAGACGACACCTGCGAATCTGATCACCGGCTGAATGTCGTTAAGTTTGTGGCCGGCGGTGAGCCCTGCGCTTCAGAGAAGAGCAGCGATTCGGGAGTGAGTAGTTCTTCGTTGAGTTCGGCTCATCCTCATCGTCCATGAGCGCGGCCTGCCGCATCCGCGCTTTTATAGGCACTGGCGCGGGTGCGTGCGCAGGTCGCGCCACCCTATAACCCCGCTGACAAAAAACCCTCCACTATACTCGAATGTGAATAATGATTCAGAAGCTTCAGAAGATTCAGATTTACTGGTGGTAGGACCTCTTGTGAGTCCGCACGGTTAGGTACCACCACCCCGCCTATTTCTGCCGTGAAGCAGCAATGCGCTTCGGTTTGAAGGGTAGGGCAGCCGTTGTAACTATAGTGAGACCTTAGAAGTTATATCTCAAGGTGGGTGGCGTATTTACGTTGTAGATATCTATGGGCTCCCGTAACCACTTAACACCGGGTGGGCTGTAAGCTCGTCCATCCATCTAAGCAATAAAAAAAAAGCGACGAGTAACATTCAATACCTTTGGCTTCAGTTAACAAGCGTTTTTTTTTCCGTGTTTTATTAATGATCTAACTTTGCACAAGACTGAAATCTGTTTACAAAATTTAAATAAAACTTGACCATCCAATTTAATGGTGTTTAAAATCATTAATTTGGTTTTATGTCCACTTATATCTTCTCCGTAACGTTTATGCTTAAGAAGACCTTTTTGTATTACTTAAAGACTGACCTAAGTTGAAGTAATAATCATTTGAAGGCTGTTAAATTAAAAAAAATACATTGTAATAGTTAATTATTATCTTGATCATCAACAGTAGTAAAAATCAAATAATGTAATGAGTGTAGATTTTTTAAACTGTTAACAAATTACGACAATCACTAATTAGTTAGTGCAAAAATTAGTGTAAATATATTATTAAAAATAAGTTGCTTTTATAAATTTATAGGTGATTTTTTATATTATTTTTTTCATTCCTTGTTAATATTAATAGGCATATCAAAACTGCAAGAACATCTAAAATTCATTTAGCTTTAGTTTTCATTTATAAACTATGTACCGTGTACACTGTTCAGGTTTTCACAGGAATGAATCGGAGAGATCGACAGACGTTGTAAAAATGTAAGATAATGATTTAGAATGTTTAGGAAACTTTGAACAGAGTATAAAAGAGTAGAAGTAAATGCATTTATAATTTCGTAGCGAAGGCAATAATTCGGTTTAAACAACTGACGCGTTCAAAGCGCATTCGATAGCAATAATTGTAAATAACTTAGTAGTTAGACTAATGATTGGTACATTTGAGATTCTTTTGTTGTTTTAAAGAAAGCTTTGTGGTTTTGTAGCCTATACAGGTTAGGCTTAGGTTAGTTCGAGTGTGAAATTCAGAATTTCACCGAGATCTTCCGAGTCATTGTTTGTTTGACTCAGTTTTACGACTTCTGCACTTGTGAGTGGGTTCACTCGTAAAATTCCAAGTGGCCTGTCAAACATAGTGACTGGGCTGTAACTAATATTAGTTTTTTTTTTTTTTGCGTGGTTCTTTTGTGGCATGGAAAATGCGATACGTCTTGTGATAAATCGTTTTTCAAATATTATTTTTTTCTTCATAATTAATTACATACATTTGTTTGACAGTGAATTTTTATATCTACAAATTTTTGAAATATATTGTAAATTTTGTAATTAAATTAAAATGAAATATATTTTCCCAATTAAATTAAAAACGCTATTTATTTGATCACATTTGTTTATTACAGTATTTAAATATCATATCATCATATTAAAAAAAAAAAAAAAAGTTTTTTTCTTTCTTAAAAGAATTGTAATTTTTGTTTTTTTTTGCGAAACACTGTTTGTGTTTCTATTAATTCTATTAATATTCTATTTGAGAACGGTTGGGTTTATGGCGTATTAACAAGATCGGACCAGCACAAGTGCAAAAGTAACTGGTTGAATATTTAGCACTGCCCGTGGTTGCTCTCGTGTAGATCCTGTATACATTATGTTAATCTTCCCATTTCAACTACGATCGTAAACTAGTCCGAACTATTAAATGTATATAGATAAATGTTTGTTACTTGTATATTGTAGATAGAACATAATATTACATTTTCATTTGGAATTTTATTCGATTTTTTAATTAAAAATTACAAGAAATTTATAACTTATTTAAAACGAAAGCTCAGTTAGTTCGACTTGTCCATACAGTTTACCTATTTTTTAATCATTCTTTTTTTTTATAATAATCATATTATTATGTGAACCGGGATGCTTTTATTGATTCTCGCGAATTATTTGTAGCGGAATATTTTGCATTTAAAATAATATATCATTTCGTAGCCATATTTATATATTATATATATTTTTTTAAACAAACCTTAATTGTAAGTTTACAAATCTGTTTATGAACTATGGATCCTAAATAAATAAATCCGAAAATTAATAAACGAGGTTTTTATTGTATTGTAATAAACTCTCGACTGCTTATTCTAAGATTGTTAAGATTAATGTTCTTTTCAGTTGATGAACAAGCGTTTGATGCTATGTCTTTATTTTTTCAATTAATTTATGAGACCCTTTATGGTAACGTGGGTATTGCAACACAATTACATCGTTAGATTAAAGACGAGTAAACAAAATCTAGTGTGTTCACGGATGGTGGTTATCAGATCCTATAGAGATCGCAGTGCTTATACATCGATATAAATTAAGTTTATTTTTTATTTTTTTATTGCTTCGATCGGTAGACGAGCTTACGGCTCACTTGGCGTTATGTGGTTACCGGAGCCCATAGACAGTACAATGTAAACGCCGCCACCCATCTTGAGATATGAGTTCTAAGGTCTCAGTACAGTACAACGGCTGCCCCACCCTTCAAACCGAAACGCATTATTTCTTCACGGCAGAAATAGGCAGTAACAATACTAATCTACGTACTGTAGGCATAATAATAACAGAAAAATATTTTTTTATATATCCGATTTAAGATGAACTCTCGGAATATTATATATTTTACATAACGAGTACATATACATAGTACTAGAAGTCCATAGAAGTTGTAATGTGAATTTTCGGACTCAATTTTTTTTTATTGCATGCAACTGATGGAAATCGTCTTGCTTATTTCTAACCTGATGTAGTCATGTCTCCCGATCTGAAGCTTGGTGCAGCTGTAATTACAAGTTCTGCTTCGTGTTTCAAGCCGCCGCCACCGGAGTAGAGTTCATCCATACTACCTGGAGCCCCTGCGGTCATCCACAGTGCGTTTCCAGAGGTCTTTTTTGCCACGTACCATTTGGTTATGGAATGAGCTCCCCTCCACGGTGTTTCCCGAGCGCTATGACATGTCCTTCTTCAAACGAGGCTTGTGGAGAGTTAAGCGGTAGGCAGCGGCTTGGCTCTGCCCCTAGCATTGCTGAAGTCCATGGGCAACGGTAACCACTCACCATCAGGTGAGCCGTATGCTCGTCTGCCTACAAGGGCAATAAAAAAAAAAAACTATGTATCCAGTACAACAATAGCAATTTTAATGAATTATCTCTACAGCTCTTGTATTTTTATTTTGTGCTGAAGAAACATTTTCCGAAAAAGGAATTGCTAATAAACAAGTGCTCAGGCCGAGATAGCGTTGGGAATTTTTGAAATAGATTTTAAAGGACTTAATTTACGACTGACAATCTTCTTTACGAGTGTCATAAATGTCTGAATATCGGTAGGTACGAATACGAGGTATGAGAAAAGTTAAATGGGGAAAAACATCGGCGTTTATTAAATGTTTTTTATTTCAATTTCCGGCTTGAAAATTAAATAAAGTACATTCTACTTTTAGAGAAAAACACAAATTCTAATTTGCGTAATTAATGGTGGTAGAGGGTTTTGTGAGTACGGATTAACTAACACACGCCCGATTTCTACCACGAAGCAGTATTGAGTTTCGGTTCCACAGTTTTTTTTATAGCTTATATGGGTGGACGAGCTCACAGCCCACCTGGAGCCCATAGACATCTACAACGTAAATGCGCCACCCACCTTGATATATAAGTTTTAAGGTCTCAGTATAGTGACAGCGGCTGCTTCGTACTTCAAACCGAAACACATTACTGCTTCACGGCAGAAATAAGCAGGGTCGTAGTGCCTACCCGTGCGGACTCACAAGAGATCCTACCACCAGTTGAACAATTGTTATATATATTGTGACTTAGACCTCATGCCTCAGTGGAGTATTCATGTCAACGAGCTCCAATAAAGTTCCTACCACCAGTAAAGTTCACCAGCATGTCTACTTAACGAAAATGGTAAGTGTAATTTAAGATAATACAGTCTGACGTTTACTGCACAAAATTACAGGTTTTCGTTTGTACACTTGATCAATGTCCAGCGGCGAAATGTAGGTAATGCAATTAAAATAGTTGTTATTTTACGTTGATTGCTCGAATTCGCCGCACGAAGTCACGATTACATATATTAGTTAAATCGGACTGAGAATTATTCTTCTTTTTTTATTTTTATTGCCCTTGTAGACCTGATGGTGAGTGGTTACCGTCGCCCATGGACTTCAGCAATGCCAGGGGCAGAACCAAGCCGCTGCCTACCGATATTCAGGTCGTAAGGTATGACAAAAGAGTTTAAATAAGAAAATAAAGTAATTACGTTTAATTCATTACTCGGCGGCATTTTCGCATATGCCAGAGACGAATTTTACTACAATTGAAAAAATAACTGGAAAAAATCACGCTCGGTCTTCTGGCCCAAAATTAGGATTGCTTGTGTTAACTGACATACTTATATATTAATAGATAATAATCGATCAGGCAAATAGCAAACAAATCTGTTCATCACACGAACGTTTGCTCAATGTGTATTAACTACTGTATCATCGAGTCAGTAATTACGTAATATTACGTTCATTGCTTGTACAGGATAGTAGCAACGTCTAGAAAGTCATATGAAACATGCATTAAGACCCTGGAATTAAAACTAATTGCAATAATACCTATAATCATCAATTTGTAAACGAAAATTATTCTAGCGATTCTGGTTTGTATTTGTTTTTACTGAGTCACGAGTTCTGCCATTTTTACCAGTTGAGATGTTTAATTTATGATTATGTTTAGCGGTTATCGGATCGTGCAAGCACTATATACTATTTGAGCCAATGATTCAGCCATAATTCAATAGAAACAGGACTGACAATTTTACACCACAACCAACCACGATCTATCCAACCAACACCTAAATGTGGAACTAAAAAGGTAAGTCGCACAATCAGTAAGGATATTGTTAGCTTGGAGGGATAATTAAAGCATTATTTCGATCACTTCGATTATTAGGATC